AATAAAAAAATTTCCCCCTCCTCCCCCCCCCAAAAAAAAAAAAAATAAAAGAGAAAAAAATTTTCATTCATACATAATAACTTAAATTATTATTTATGCGCCATTTTTTTTTTTTTTTTTTTAAACAAAAATTTAAATTAAAAAGTAAATTTAATAAAAGGAAATTAAAAATAATAATAATAATAATAATAATAATAATAATAATAATAATAATAATAATAATAACACGTGGACCAATTTAAAAACTCAACAACAACAACAATAAAAAAACTAAATAAAAAAAAAAAATTTTTTTAAAATAAATTGGGTAATAATAATAATAGTAATCATACGGAAATGCTATAACATGCTAAATACTTTTTAATGATTCTAAACAAAAATTTTTTGTTTGTTTGTTGTTTGTTGTTTGTTGTTGTTGTGAATATTATAGTTTGTTTGTTGTTTGTTGTTGTTGTGAATATTATAGTTTGTTTATTGTTTTTATATGTCACCTATGCCAACTTTTGGCAATGTTATTTTCCATTGATCACCTATCTATTTATTTTCGATTTTTTGTCTTTTTATAAAGTGGCGGTCATAATTCACAATGTGTTTGAGTGTGCATGTGTGCGTGTGCGTATGTTTTAGTAAAAAGAAGAAAAACCAGTTAACTACCCATTTGAACAAAGCTTTAACATTCCTTTTTATTAAAAAAAAAAAAAAAAAAAAATGATGGTCAACGCCCTTATACATCAAAGTAAAGTTCAATAAACAAAGACCGAAAAATCTATTAATGTTTTTTTTTTATTATTAAATAGTATTTGATTCCTTTTTGCAATTCTCCCCAATGTAAATCTCTCTCTCTCTCTCTCTCTCTCTCTCTCTCTTTTTCTCTCTTTCTCTAACACGTACCGGTTACAATTAAAAAACAAGAAAAACTTTTGAGCGAACCAAGCGAAGACTCATAAAAGAAACTTTATTTATTTTAAATACGTTTCGATCTAATCGACGTTTATTTTTTTAATAAAATAAATTAAATTTAATAATTTATTAATAATTATTAAATTTTAAAAAAAATTTGTTTTGTTGTGCGTTTGCGTGCGAGTGTTTTAATAATAATAATAATAATAAAAAACAAACAATTGAAAAATAAAATAAAAAAAAAAAAAAACAAATTTAACAGTTATTCATTTATTTATTAAAAAATGGTAAAATTTTAAGTATAAATAATTAAAATTAGTTTATTTATTTATTAATAATCGATTGTTTATTAAAAACAGGTAAGTTATTAATAAATAAATTATTAAAAATGAATTTGTTATGTTTATTTCTTTTGTTTATTATTGTTTACGTTTATTACGTCATTTGTTTTTTTTTTTTTTTTTTAAATAAATTTGTTAAATTTAAATAAATTTAAATCTTAAATTTTGAAAGGAAGAAAATCAATAATTTTATCAATAAATAAATAAAAAATAATTAAAATTCTAAACAACAGTAAATTAAACAATTAAAAATTTCTCTCTCTGTCTCTCTCTCTCTCTTTCTCTCTCTCACGTAAATTATTTTAATATAATTTTTATTAATAAATATTTAAATTATTTACATTAATTATTTATATTTATTAACAAAAAAAATTATTATTATTATTATTATTATTATCGGTATGTTTCGCTTATGTAAAAAAAAAAAGTGTAAAGTTTTATTATTCGTTTGTTGATTTCAATGCGATTTAATTTAATCGGCGACCACATTTAAGGGACATTTTTTTTTTTTTTTTTGTATAACAAAAGCAAAACATTTCAATTCGATATTTTTATTCCCACTGGAAGCTGGGATAGAAATCGAACGTTTTTGTTTTTTTTTTTCTATCTTCTTCTTCATCTTCATCTTCATCTTCATCTTCTTCTTCGTGATAAAAAAAGTGAAATAAAAGTGTTTAAAAAAAAAAAATAAATAAATAAATGAATTTTTTTCGATGTAATTTTCACGTGAATCGTTATAATAATAATAATAATAATAATAATAATAATAATAATAATAATAATTTGGATTCTATTAATTAAAGGTAAATTTTACGAATTTAATAATAATAATAATAATAATAATAATAATAATCGTATTTTAATAATATATTAATAAAGTTAACATAATTATTTATCCATAAATTAAATTTTTTTTTTTTAATAAAATTTGTTATAAAAGTTATTGAAAAATTTTTCAAATTGATTATCAATCAATCAATCAATCGATAATAGTTCATTTTGTTTAAAAAAATTTTTTTTTTATTTAATAATAACAACAATCTAAACAATTATTTATGTTTTGTTGTGTTTTGTTTTGTTTAAATCGAAATTAAACAATTTTTAAAAAAATGGCGTAGAAAAGTGCATAAAATAAAAAGGTAAAAAAAAAAAATTTGTGTAATAAAAAATAACAAAGTTTATTATTTGGATTTAATTTGGCACACGCACACGCACACACACACACACACACACACACATAATAATAAAAACACGAATATTAAAATATGAATAAAAAAAAAATCAAATAAAACAAGACTTTTAAATTTTATTTATTTATTTAAAAAAAAATTAATGATGATAATAATAAGTATAAACAAAAAATAAATTTTATTATTATTATTATTATTATTATTATTATTAATTTACAAGTTGATTTTAACTGTAAATAATTTGTATTAAAACGCGTTTTTTTTTATATTAAATTTATTTAATTAATGTTAATTATTTTGCAATCATAAAAATTTAGGAAAAAAAAAAAAAAATTTAAAAACGATAAAAAAATTTCCTTTCCACTAATTACGATATTAAAACTACTTTATTATTATTATTATTATTTTTATTAGTATTTTTTTTTCGTTTGATTAATTTATTGCTTGTTGTAGGTTTTTTTTTTTTAAATAAAATAAAATAAAAAAATAAACGTGTATCATGCTGTTATTAATGTTGCTCACATATTACGGTTACTTTTGCCAAAGGATTTACGGTGTTGTCGGTGGTGGGGGTGGTGGTGGTGGAATTTTATATCCCCGGGAATCGGAAACTCGGGAAGTTAAATCATTAGATGGTATATGGAATTTTAAATTATCACCAAAAAGTGATTCCGTACAAGCATATAAAGAAAAATGGTTTAGTAAAGAACTTAAAGAATCCGGTGGTACCACGATACCCATGCCCGTTCCTGCCAGTTATAACGACATAACAACATTTAAAGAAATTCGTGATTTTATTGGCGTCGTTTGGTACGATAGAAAATTTTTTGTACCTGGATCATGGAGCGAAAATCAAAGGATTTGGTTGAGGTTTGGAAGCGTTTGTTATTCGACAATGGTGGTAAGTAATAATAAAATTTTTCCTTTTTTTCTTTTAACGGTATTTATTATTGATGCCATGACACAAACGTCAATGGGGGGGGCAAAAAATTTTTCTTTTGGTAAAACAATGAATATCTGTATTTTTAGTGGATAAATGGACAGTTAGTTACCAGCCACGAAATCGGCCATTTACCATTTAAAGAAGATGTTACGCAGTATTTAAAATATGGACAAGAAAATTTAATCACTGTTGCCGTTGATAATATTTTATTACAAACGACAGTACCACAAGGAATACTCTCTGAAATAATCATGTCGGTTTATTTTCATCTAAACTTGAAATAATCATAAAAAACAAATTTTAAATATAATAATTTATTCCAGAAACAATCAAACGGAATTACATCAATCGTATTCATTCGATTTTTTCAATTATGCTGGAATTGATCGTCCTGTACTACTCTACACAACTCCAGAACTTTACATAGATGACATAACAATTTCAACGGATTTTTACAACGATAATGGTGAGCAAAATGGAGAAAAACATTTTTTATTTATTTTTTTTCACATTATTAAAAATAAATATAAATATAAATAATAATGATATTCGTGTTAAATAATTTATTTACATAACACAAAATGAAAAGAAGATGGATGATTTGACTAAAATTAAAATAATATGAAAAAATTCAGACTCTGCCCATCCGGTTACATTGTATCCATTGAGAGTAAATAATAATAATAATAATTATTATTTTCATAACAAAATTATGTAATTTGTAAAAAAATGTGAATAAAACGCAACGAACGCAGCATCCTTTCCATTTGTCTTATCATTTTGTTGCAATGTTTCATATCAGTAATAATAATAATAATAATAATAATAATAATAATAATTTTTTTTTGTTTCATCTTCTGCAATATCCATATTTGAATACTAATTTTTTTTTTTTTTTTTTTTTTTTTTACAGGTTTGATTTATTTTCGAATCGATTATAAAAGCGCGGAAGAAATCGATTTCGTATCGGTCAATTGTAAAGTTATTTTATCCGACGGAGATGATAACGAAATTAATTATTTGGAAAATTGCAGTGGAAAATTTACGGTACCTTCTCCCAAATTATGGTGGCCATATTTGATGGATCCATCTCCCGGCTATTTGTACAAACTTCGAGTGAGTTATTTTTTTCTTTTTTTTAATCGAAACGTTTTTTCCCCTCCTCCCCTGTTCCTCCTTCTCCTTCTCCTCCAATAAATTAATCTGAAAAAATTTATTATTATATTTTTCTTTTTGTCTTTTTCCTCAAAGGTTGAATTAATGGATGGCGATTACACACTTCGAGACGTTTACCGTCTACCGATCGGAATTCGAAAAATCTCATGGTCGAATACAAATGTTTTTATTAATAACAAACCCATATATATAAGAGGTGTTGGAAAACACGAAGATTCCGATGTAAGACAAACAATTACAATAAATTATTTAAAACAACAACTACACGTTTGAAATAAATAAATAAATAAAAATGTTTAAATAGATTTGTTTTTTTTCCGTTAACAGATTAAAGGAAAAGGATTAGATTTATCCGTTATTGTTAAAGATTATAATCTTTTAAAATGGATGGGAGTCAACACTTTTAGAACTTCACATTATCCTTATGCGGAGGAAATAATGGATTTAGCCGATTCCATGGGAATAATGGTTATTGATGAATGTCCGAGCGTTAATACGGAGTAAGACAAATTTTATATATATATATATATTAATTGAGCGAAATGCGGAAGACACGAACCAACTCACTCACCATTAATAAACTCTTCCCCTCCATTTTGTTTTTTTTTAATAGAATTTATTCGGATACGTTACGACAAAAACATGAAAAATCACTAACGGAATTATTTCAAAGGGATAAAAATCGTCCGAGTGTTATTATGTGGTCTGTAGCTAACGAACCAAGAACACACGTGCCAATATCCGATATTTATTTTAAGTAAGTTTTTAAATTAACACCCCCCCCTCACCCCGACCCGCCCCCCTTTGGGGTTTTATTGCGTAATAAAATAATTTTTTTTTTTTTTGTTACAGGCAAATCGTAGATCACATGAAATCACTCGATGGTACACGACCGGTAACGATAGCTTTATCAAGAAGACCTTTTGAAGATAAAGTGGTAAGTTTTAAACTTAAAAACTTGTTAAAAATGATGTTAATGAAATTTAAATTTAAATTTAAATTAAAAAAAAAAATTATTTATAGGGCCAGCACCTTGATGTTGTTTCTTTTAACAGATATAATTCTTGGTATTCAAACACGGGTCAAACGGAAGTTATTTTTCAAAATGTTATCGATGAAGCTGAAAAATGGTTTTACAAATATCAAAAACCGATAATAATGACGGAATATGGTGCCGATGCTGTAGCCGGTTTACACATGGTTATTTTTCTTTTATATTTAATTAAATTAACTATTTTTAGGTTGTACCTTGATTAATTAAATTAAATTTTAGTTTCCGGAAAGCGTTTGGTCAGAGGAATATCAAAATGTTGTACTTCAACAACATTTTAAAGCATTCGATGTTTTAAGATGCAGAGGATTTTTTATCGGGGAAATGATATGGAATTTTGCCGATTTTCAAACTGCTCAAAGTAAATTTCTAATCGTTTTTTACCCCCCCTCCCCCCTATTTTGCCCTTTTTTTTACTCTTTTAAACAAAAATTTTTTTATTTTATAGCTACTGGAAGAGTTGGTGGTAATAAAAAGGGAGTTTTTACAAGGCAAAGAGAACCTAAAAGTTCAGCTTTTTTACTACGTAAAAGATATTACGAATTAGCTTTCGAATTAGACGGAGTTCCCCTTCCCGATGATCTTGTAAGATACACATCTAATATAAACACTACATATAATAATTTAATATAAAATAAATTATTACTAAAAAAAAATTTGACTGAAAGTTTTAAATTTGAAACCTTGGACAGTATCTTCATTACTCACCAAAATTTTCTACTATTCTCAAACATTCATCTACAAATTCTACAAAATCTGGATCTTTCATGGCTTCGTAAACTGTTTCTTCTGGATTAATTGCATTGTCAACAGCAATTAAAGTTTTTTGTAGATTCTATTTTTAAAATATTTTTAAGAACTTCACTATCACCTAGAAATTACAAAAATTCATTTTAAAAAAAAAAGATTTTTTTTTACTACTATTTCTAAAAAATTTTTAAGTAAATAATTCTTCTTACGAAGTCTATTTAATTTTTCTGGACTGACTGTATCTTCTGTAAAATATTTAATCTCTGAACTATTTTTATTAAAATCTTTTTTTTCTAATGTTACTTTTTGGCAGACATCTTTGTCTTTATCCTTATGTTGTTTCCAACAATTTAATGAGCAACTGAAAATAAAAATGAAAAGTTAAATGTCGTGTCTTGTAATAGTTCATGATTTTTTTATAATAACAAAGATTAGAGAATAGATTTCTTTTTATTTATACATAAAGATATGTTTGGTAAATATGTGGCACAAATTATTTAATAAATAGAAAAAAGATCACATTTCTTTCGGTTAATATTCATGTTTTTAAACAGGTAGTATTGGCCATGTGTTTGTAAAAGTTGTAAAATTACGATTAAAAATGAAATAATTTAAAACAAAATATATTTACTTCAAGACTGATAATACCTATAATACCTATAATACCTACTACGGACAGAAACAAGTAGCACATTTGTATTTAGATTCAATTTTCTTACATATACTACACAACATTTTGAAAAGAATAAATAAATAAAAATTAACGTGGCTTTAGATAAATAGTAAACATTGGTATAACTTTAAAAATTTCTTTTTTTAAAATAAATTTCTAAAATTTTTTCGTAATTTTTGTTATTAAATTTTATAAAATTAAATATTCTGGTAATTATTTCTTATAATGTTTTCATGCAAAAAAGATGTGACGAACGTATTGTCTGTTTTAATATATTGTCCTCAGGATAAAACTTTCTTAATTCTTTTTGATGAAGAAAGAAAAGATTTTTGGATACCGTCAACAAGTATAGATGATGATTTTAGTTGGAAAGAAAACTTGGAACATTTTAAAAAAAATGTAAAATATTATGCGAAAATATTTTAATGAATTTTTTAATTGTGAAATATTATA